ACACCGAACCCTGAACCAGGATTTGTAGATCAATCTGTGGGTTCTTGGCTTGTAGATAATGTTATAAGCCTTTATGTATGGGTTCACATTTAACTCTAAATCCAAAACTAACAAATCATATTTTAGCAGAAAATTGCATGGGAATCACTAACTAATGTCCACTTTTGAAAACAAGCTTTAAAATTTAACTTTAAAAAATTCCCTATATCTCTTTAAGTGTTTACATGCATGACATTAAAAGTTTCTGTTGTAATTTTGAGTGCCTATTGCCTTGAATGTACAAATGATAGGGTAAATAAGTCATTTTTCCTCTATACCTTAAATGGTATCTATTTGTAGAAAAATTGTCATTGCTACAGAGATGACTGATCTGAGGTATCATGCAAGGAGATCAAAATCTAATAGCTGTAGTTTGACTATCCCAGAAAATTTTGAAAAACATATCAATAATTCACTGAGTAGCCCTGAGTATTTTGAATGCAGTATCAAAATATGACATTAGAGACAAAGGATTTTCATACACAACTCTGAAGTTCTCTGGAACCTCCCTTGCAATACATGTAAATGCTGTGAACATAAAATAGAAAAATAGAGCCAGATTTAAACCCACTATGCATGCTAAGAAATGTGGGATTGTATTTGCATTATACTTACAAGCTCAAATGTACATTCTGTGTCATGTGTGAAAATGTTCCTATTGATACTCTGAACATCAATTGCAAATGCAGTTTAAGCTGATACATCACAATGATTTACACACCTACACCCATACAAATCTCATACATAAAAGCAGCTCCATTCCACTCAGAATACAAAACTTGATTATCTGCAAAGCTTGTTCTCACATAAATTTCAGTGGAGGGATCATTTAATTTTACAATATTTTTGTGTGTTTGGGTGTCTATGTAATTGTTTCTTTCCTGGCAATGCATAGGTGCAGCCCAATACATGTACTGTAAATCACATAAGCACCAGTACATATACATCCACAATATTTAGAGAGTTAGACTATCCTATACTGTAATCAACTAACGTTTCTCATAAAGTACTGAAAAACCAAAATTGTAATTCTATAGCATGTTTATAGAAAGGTTAGTCCTCAGATTCAGTCAGACTAACTCACCTGAGTGTGCAACTTCAATATTATTTTCATTGTTTGAAAATCTATTTTTCCACATTAATTTGCACATACACATACTATGGTTGTACATCTACTCCTAATATTTGTATTTGTATGGCATACATGGTTCTGCCCGACATGTACAAACAAGTGTGAATACCACTACATCATGTTTGCATGTCTTAAGGGGCATTTTCATTTTAAGAACTATGAACTAGCAACTGAGCATTTCAGTACAAAATGAAAGGATCTCTACTGAAATGACTGGGAACAATTCAGCTCCAAATCATTTGCTAGAGGTTTGTGTGACCGAACACGCTAGTAGCTTTTACACAGAACAAAATGATTGTGGGAAGCTGAATAGGTCGGTTTGACTGAGTAGAGGTGAGGTTATTTTGGCTGAATATACAAAAAAGATTTTTTTTTTTTCCTGCCGATTGTCCTTGCCTCTTTTTTATTTACTACTTTTTTAATATTTTAAGTTTAATTTAGGTAAAGAATTAGTGGGGTGAGCAATGTTGCAACTAAATCTTGCTCCAGAGAACCAGAAGGCTGCTTATACAACACAGCACTGTCTAGAGAAAAGCAATGCAAGCTTGGTTCCAGTATTGGGGAGGGAACAAGCATGCCTTGCACCATGGGGGTGCAATTTCTCTTTCTGTCTCATACACACTCACACCCACATATCCACACCTCTCTTCAGCAGCAATACCCTACAACAGATGGGTCCTTCAGACCTGTTCCTGAATACAGAAACTAGATTATGGTGCAAATGTAAGATTAGAAGCATTCCCCTTTCCCCATTTTAACCAATTCTTTATACATTATTTTAGATCTCTTTTCTTTTTCTCTTCATTTGTGTGGCTCCTATTTGCAAAGCTCAGTAAGAAGTTCAGGAGAGAAACTGAAGGGGTATGTCAATATTTGGCTTCCATCGAATTCCACATTCCTTTGAATAGTCAGCCTGCAACTAATGCTGCATCCTGCTTGGCAAATACAGGACTCCCTCCTTTATCATAAGCAAAATTGGAAGTCATATTTTGAACACTAAAATAAAATGACTGGGCTGGGTTAGCTTTGAGTAGGGGGTTCTTTAAAGAAAGTGTAGACAACTGCAAAAGTGTTCCTTGCTCCTTTGCTTTCTTTCACATTCACACACCAAGGGGGTCTGCTTTTCTAACCCATCAGGAAAGAATTCCAAAGATAATGGTCTATAATTTTTTCTCCTGAAAATTCTATTGTCCTATTTTTGTTGTTCTATACTCTTGCTATATTTTAGCAAAGCTAATTCATACCAAATAAATGCTCAAAACTAGGGGAAAGGGAGGGGGAGGGGGAGGGGGAGAAGGGGGGAGAGAGAGCTGACAGTCAGGAAATTCTTAATTCAGCTCTTTCACACAAAGCCTTAAGTTATGTAATGCCCCTAGGAACAACCAGGTTTTCTTATTCTTTCTTTGTTGCTTTCAAATATTTGGGACTCACACAATTCAATGGACAGCTCTTCTGCATAAACACAATGAATGGGAACTACATTAAGGACACTGCATTGCCCTGATTTTTGAAAAAAAAAAGAATATCTCCTTTTCTTCACTGAGAGCAATTTTGACAATAAAACATCTCCCACTTAACAAAAATGCAGGCTTATAAGGTGAAAATAACTAACCCAGTAATCCTAAGCAGGTTTATTTAGAAATAAGATTCTATTGAGATCAATCCCTCTTACTTCCAAGTAGACAAGAATACAGTATAACCACAACCTAAAAAAAAAAGAAAAGTATAATTCAGCTGCAAAATTTAAATACTGTACAATTAACCAAGATGGGGAATAGCAGAAATTGTACTGTGGTATTTTTGTTATTGTTTTCTATATGAGTCTTATTTTTTAAAATCATACACATTTTCTATACATTCCATATTTGGTTTGTTTCATTGTTGCACTTAGTAATCAATTTGTAAAATTCAAAGTGCCGGAATTTCTTTCTAGATAAAATCTGACATTTCAATCAATTCATTTCACCCAGCCATCCCCAATAAGGTTTGTCCCCTTCTTCAGGAAAGCCTATTTTAATAATAGATCCAGACAAATATTGGTATCTGATTCCTAAATATGTTACTGTTTGACTGCACAGTTGGGAATAAGATCAGTTGATGCATAGCTTACTTACACATAAAATCATGTAGACTTAAGGATTTAAGGTCCAGTAATTCCAGGAGGACTTACCTCCTAATTAATCTGTTTTGCACTTTTAAACAATGTTTTTGCCTGTGGTCTTTACAGGTTGTGTAGCAAGATCTATTTATGGGCAACTGAGCTCTTTCTTCCCTGATATAAGATTTTGAAACTGAAGATACACACACACACACACACACACATATAAACACACACATCTTACAGTCATAAGAGGCTTTTTACTCTAGAGATGAAGATTTCAATTTGAATTTGAGTTTTGTGACACAGAGCAATCTTGGAAGACAAAGGGGTATATTACACATGAAACAATAAAGAACTATTTGCACGAGGGAAAGAGATCACTGTTTTCTCTGGCAAAGACAAAAGAATTCCTCTTTTCTACATTTCACTTTGGAGATCAAATTGTCCATCTGTAATTCATTCAAATTTACCCCTGGATCCAATTTATTCTTTCCAGCAAATGTTTAAATAAACAGAATATTACTTTGGGTTACTAATGCCAGGGATCTATTAACCAAAAAAAAAAATTGTTTGAAACGATGCAAAAATTTAAGCAACTTTTTTTTTCTTCGTGAGGGAAAGATAAGGACTTTGCTTCTACTTTAGTTTAAAATAATTTTTCTTTATTGAAAGAGAAGAAAAAAAGTCTACTGTGGAGACCTTTCTTTTTCTCAAAAGTTCTGGCATTGGGGATAAAGTAGTCAGATTGGCTTTGCTTAAGTTTTAATCAGGAAGTGAATGGAATGGGGAGGGGAGTGATCCTTTGATGAGTTTAATGTGCTGCAGTTGAAAGGCCATTCCATTTCTCTTCCAAATTAAGGAAGAAAGTTGGGGGCTGGGAGGAGAGCATACTTTTAACTTTGCTAATGGGGGAGGGAGAGGAGAGGAGAGGGTCTTTCACTTGGGAGAGGGGAGGGGAGCCTTGTCCAGAAACTTTCTCATTCCCTACAACACCCCCCACACACAGCTTTTCCAAATTTCACAGCATGGAACAAACCACTGCATGTTAAAAGGAAAGGAGAGACCAGATTTTCTCCAACTGTCTGTATCTTTTTTTTCTTAATTGTTATTGCAGCTCCCTACAATATAAATGTGCAACATAAACAAAAACACTGTATCCCCAACTAAAGCATAAAAGTTAAATATCTATACTCAACTTTATTTTCTACTTTCTCTTACTGTCAATATTTCTTTTTTTAATCATTTGTTTTGGCTCCCTATAATTACTATCAAGTAAGATTTAATTTTTTATATTTTCAAAGGTGTGCAATTTTATTAAGAATTGCTGATTGGATGGGCTCTTTAAAATAAAGCCACTGGTATAAATAAAGGAATTTCATGTGATGGGAGATTTTCAGGATTCTTTAAAAAAAAAAAAAAAACTCAAGCTATTTGGGAATCAAAAGTCCATTCTTTCTTTTTTTTTTTTGAAAACTTTTAGGCTTCAAACTTACAGCCACTTATACATAATTAAATCCCACAATTCCGTCTGAATAATTATATATTTGATTGCACTTTTTCTATTTTAAAAACATTTTTATCTATTTCAGCCAGTCTTACTTTGGGGCAATTGAGTTTAAACATCATCAACTGCTATTATCACCTGACTTGCAATTAAAGGCCACTGAACCCAAAAAGGTTATTTCCAAGTATATATACTTAAGATTGCAAGATCATTTTTCTTTTCTGTACAGAATATATTCTATTTTCCCTTTCTCATCCACACTGTTCCCTCCACAAACGAAACAAATCGTTGCACATAAACTACTTTAAATCTTTCATCTAGAAGTCTTCAAAACCATATCCCCGGAATTTCAGGCTGGGAGGCATGGGGATGGCATTGCCCCCCAGCTGCCAGGTCCAAAGTGGGTGCGTTTTGGAGAGGGCACAGGAGTCTTTGACGCACAGGGACGATGCAGGACAGAGATCCCCATCTGAACCCACGACTAATGCGGGTGTACATGGAAAAGTGCCCATCAAAGTAAATGGATTCCTTACAGACCCGGGACTGGTGCTGAGCAAGCGTTTGCAAGGCGGGGTGCCCCCCTTTGGGGTCTTCTTCCTCGGAATCTTGGGGGCCTTGGCCTGCTCGACTCGACTTCTCCTGGAACCCCTTTCCGAGTCGCTGCTCCCTTTCAGCGGTCTGTTGGCCAGGCTGAGGAGGCCAGTTTTAGAAGCGGGAGAACACCCTTTGGCCTGGTCGGCTCTGCGCAAGCCTTTCCCATCCACGTTGAACCCTTTGGCGTAGCACCAGAGTTTCGATTGCCTGATAAGCCTGTCGAAATGGGCCCCTCTGCCTGATCCTTCCTCGGAGGTCTGATGAAGCGCGGCTTCCTCAGTTTTATCCTGCTCACCGGCTCGGACACCATCGGAAATGCTCAGGAAATCGGCCTCTTCGCCCTCCTGGACACCCGACTCCGACGCCTCCCTGATGCCTCCGTTCTTTGGCTGCGGGCCGTTCGGACGGGCTGGGGAAACTGAAGAATGCCGAGTCTCGGGTCTGTCTTGCTGAAGCTCCTTGGGCGTACTGTTAGGAATCGGCTTGAAACTTTCCAAACTGGAGGCGCGCAACGTCCTGGCCCAAAAGAGCAAGTTCGGGTCGGGGCGCAGTGCTTTGGCCACGCTGGGAAGGGCTTGGGAAGATGCATTTTGGGGAAGGATGCGGGGAAGGGCGGCCTGTCTGTACCGCGTGCTTTGCACTGAGTCGCCACTACATAGGGAACTGCTTTCTGATCCGGAGGAGCTGCCGTCCTCGCTACTACAGGAAGATTCGTCCTCCTCCTCGTCGTCCTCTTCCTCCTCTTCATCTTCCGAAGAATCGCTGGAACTTGCCGGACTTGACGCGCCGCTGGAATCCGAATCACTGGAATAGCCAGCCGACGTACCTTGCCTCTTGGAGCCGGCGATAGAGGCTGAGCGACCTTTCTTGGTCAGGCAGCCGCAAATGGAGCGCTTGGGGCGCCCGATCTCGGGCTCGCCAGGCGGTGGACTGGTTCCTTGCGCCCTGACAGCCGAGTGTAGGAATTGCAAGTCCCCGGGGTAAGCGTGGAGGACGCCGGCCAGGAGGTGCGCTCTACCGTTCCGGTTGTAGCTTTTGGAAGGCGGTGCAGCTTTCTCGTAGCTCCTAGCAAATGGAGCTCCGAAGAGCGCCTCGCGCTTGGCGCAGCCGGCACCCAAACTGGCACGAAAGGCGTGGTGGTCGGGTTCGTCGTACCCCGGTAGTAACCGGGACCGATCGAACAGGACCTCGGCTTCCCTCCTCTTGACTTTCCTCTTCCTTTTCCTCTTCCTGGGGGTTAAGGCCTTGCAGGAGGTGCAGAGGGCCTCCAGGTCGGTCTTGGAAATGAGCGAACACTTGACGGCGCGCATTGGCACCGACTGGATGGCTTTGAGAGTGCGCAGCTCCTTCAGGTCGCACCGGCGACTCTGGATCTTGAGGCTTTCCATTTTTTTGCTCACGGCGGCCCGAGGAATGTCCTTAAAAAGATCGCTGAAGACCTGGGTCAGAGCAAACATCTTCGTGCCGTTAACCTGCAGGTAACCCAAACTGATGCCGTCGATTTCCTGATAACCAGCTTGGAAATCTCCATTGTAATCCACGGACGTGGCAACGGAAGCCGCAGCTGGAGCCATCCCGCAGGTCAGAAACATGTTTAAAATAAAAATAAAAGGTAGGCAGGGAGGCCGCCAGCGGGGAGCTAGTAGAAACGGCTCTTCTTCCAACCTCTTCCCATTTCCCATCTATCCCCCCCCTCCCAAATCAACCACTCATCCTTGAATGAGAAATTTTCCTTTCAAATGCATCTCTTGAGGATCCAGAGCTGCCTTTTCTTCTCCCTTTCTTTCTCCACTCTCTACGGTAAACATCCCCAGAGAAGTCCACAGGAGAAAAATGTCTTCTCTCTGTTATTTTACCTCCTCCTTCTTATCCTCCTCCTCATATCTTTTCTTCTTGGAATCAAATTTGCCCGGGAGGGGCACCGGAGAAATTACCTCCCCCATTTCTTAATCAGTCCAGTCTTTTAAAACAAGCAGGCAAGCCTTTGAGCAAAGAATCATCCCTGAACTGCAAAAAGCAGGGTTTTCAATCACCCCAGACACCAACCAAAACCCATGGCATGGCCACCTTTTTCCCCCTGCTTCTTTCTTTAAGAGACTTGAGTACAGTATATTATAGGAAACACCCCACTAAATAATTTTCTCCAGAGTGCAAGCTGATTGGGTACTTTAACCTGGTGATGTCACAAAACCCCCAACATTTAACACACACCCCTGTGTTAAACCCTCATATATATATACATATAAACCCGTTTCATTTAAAAGTCAATCTGACACCCTCCGAGTCGGAAAGGAGTTTCATATACTCCATACTGGTACAGAGAAAATGAATGAAAATATTTTATATGTATCTGAACAGGTGTAATTACATATATACATTGGCTTGTATTCCTGAAACTTAATCTTTCTAATCTTACTTTTGAATTCACATCAGGAAGAAAACTGCAGCATTATCTATTTTTATAAAATATATTTATTGATCTTTTCATTTTTTCAATGAACTGAAGCATTTTCTCTTTGCAAAGTATATAGGTATGTTTACATAAAGCTAAAGGTCTAATTTTAAAATAAAATCCTTTTTTGGAAATGATTTTTTGCAATACGGGGTATTGATATTTTGATTAATTTTAGAATTTGCTCCAAAATCTTTCTACTCAAGTATGACATGCATTCATGTTTTTCTACAAAAAAAAGCTTGTGATACAAGCAACAATTAGCCAAATTTTAAAAATCAATCTTCAACAATTACAGCCTTAATTTAATATTCAAAGATCGGGGAATATTCTTAAGGATCGAGGAATTCTCTGGTAAAATGTACTGATACCCAACTCTCAGAATAATTTTGTTTTTCACCACAGTCATTGCAATTATTATAATTATTATTATTTTCCTAAGAAGATTATTACAGTTTTCGGTTTATAACTTAAGTTGCAATCTTGCATACAATATCCTACAAGTAAGCTGCCTTAAATACAATTGGATAAACTCTTGGATAAATATTCATAGGATTATGTTATATTAAAAAGATATTTAGCACAATAGAGGAGGAAGCTGAGCTATGTCTGTCCTACATGACATGAAATGAATGGAAGATCTGCAAAGACAGAGAATGTGAGTTTTGTAATATATATACATATACATATACATATATACATATATATATATATATAATATATATATATATTGATTTTCAGTTCTATAGCCAAAGCCCAGAACTTAGAAATGAAAAGACCAGTGTGAAAATAAATTCATTTGACTCTGAATAAAACATTGATTTCTGATACTGCTTTAAAGTGCTTTCACACTTTAAACTCTTTTAAAATAAAAGAAAATTAATTAAATATACATCTCCAGATACATATCAGATTCCATCCATACATAGAGACTGCCTGATTATAGCTCACGTCAGATATTTAATGCACATTCACCTAGCTTTTGCCTAAGTTGATTTCTTTGTAGAATTCTTCATAACATTTTCATTCTTGTAGTTGTCCTGTGCATCTTAAGTGATTTCTTGTGTTGGGTAAGTGCAAGCTATGCTTGTGTAAAACAATTTGCGAAGAAAGAATTTGCCATTGTGTAAAATATATCTTTTAATCATCCATACTAATGATGCCTTGAAATTGGAAGTTTTGGCTTTCATAAATATTCTACAAAATCTCTTCTCAGTTCTTCATTTTTAGGGACTTTCCCATCAGATAGGTAAATGTTTGACATTGTTTATGAATATTATTAGCTTTGATACCTATATGTCTTATAAATCTGGTTCAATATGTAGGGTGACAAGGGCAATTGATATACATTTTTGGCATATGATTGCTATTTGCCTCTATTGAGCCTACAGGTTATTGGAGTTAAGAGAAGAGGAATCATAGCAAAATTCTATTTGAAGAAGAAAAGAACTCTTGGTCATATTTACTTTGATGTAAGGTTTAGGTATTTCAGTGAGCTTTACATCTGAATAGTCCTATATCATCCTGAACTTGCTGATTTCAAAGGAATTTATTTTAAGTAAATGTGATTAGAAGCGTTAGGATGCTGGAACTATAGGGATACTGTTTTGTTCCAGTGAAGGAGAATGCATAGGTGATAGATTTAATTCATCTTATCAAGCCAGTGGAATTGCAATGCAGGACTGGCTTTCTAAATATGCATTTCTCACATCAAGGATGAAGAAGCCTGCACAAGAATGAACAATGTATTGTATCACAAATGGCTGGAGCAGATGGGTTGTGCCCCTGTAGGAAATTGGGATGTTCAAGCTTGCACACTAGTTGCTCTGTATTCTGGAGTGTGACAGTTCTCTGTTTCTCTTGCCCTTGTTCTAGATTGAAGTGATAGGCCACAATATAATACAGGACTCAACATACCTTAAACACATTTTACCTGGTTTATCTGGATGTTAACCTATGTATGTCTGGAAATTCATTGAATGAAAAAGGAAATGTAGATTTTGGTGTTTTTGGTCCCACTTCTGTCAATGCACCTATGTCTTCCTTTTGCAATCATTTTTATTCTTGTGTTTAATACCATCTTTTGCTGAAACATATTCTGAAGAAAATTACTTCTCCTTTGTACCATAAGAGAATAAAATAGTAGTTGATCTTAATATTCATTTTTACCTTTAAACTAATGCAAGTTAAGCCACAACCTGGCACAAAGTAATGCTGAACAATCCCATGTATTACAATGAGGGTGCGCAACAAAATTCTTACTTTTTCTTTCTTTTCTTTCTTTCTTTCTTTCTTTCTTTCTTTCTTTCTTTCTTTCTTTCTCTCTTTCTCTTTCTTTCTTTCTTTCTTTTCTTTTCTTTTTTCATTCACACCTCAGTTTTCTGTTCAAAAGAATTCCACTGATATAGGTTTTAGCAAAACCACTGAGATCTTTGAAAGGTTTCTAGAGCTTTCTGTTGCTATTTTTGGACATTATGAGTATCCAACTATCTTCCTTCCTTACTATAACAATGCTTATACCAATATCTTCTCTCCATAGGTGGATATTTTTCTTTGGCAAATATTATTCACATGGGATTCTTTTTCTCTTTAAAAATAATTTGATGGAGATTTGGTAAGAAATTCGGTTTTAGTAGTTAAAAAACTAAATCATCAAAATTGCTCTGACTCAGAGTATAAAATGGGTACAAGCATCAAACAATATTTAAAGAAAATGCAATGATAGATTTTGCATTTTGCAAAATATATTACAATCTAATTCTCTTTTGCAAACAAGATTTAAATATCTATTAAAATATATTAACATAAAGCCTGACATAGACATCCTTGCTTCTGTCTTTTCTACTGAGTGCACTTAAAATTGTGATCCTATTAGTGCAATTCTCTCTGTGTCGTCTCAGAAATAATACTGAAATCATTGGAGCATACTCTAGGTAAATGTGCATAAAACTGCAGCCTGAGTTTTCTTAATATGGAGGAATCCCTTTCTTGTAACAATATTTAGAAACTAACCAAATGATGGTGAATAAAAATACAATCTTAAATATTAAAGCTTTGTATTATGTCACATAATTGAAGCAATTCCTGGTAAGTGACAACTTTGTGAATCACGCAAACAAACAAACAAACAAATAGAAGTTTAAAATGACAATCACAGAGTCCAGCATTTGCATGCATTTCTAATCATTTATGTAAATAACCTTCCAATTGGTGTTTCCATTGTTTCTAAATACATCGAAAATACGTGGAAATCAGTGAGAAAGCTAAAAAACAGTTTTAATTGTCTAAGAAAATTCCCTCTTTCTCTTCCCAAATAAAAATCAAACCCTAAAATTTATACCGATCCTTTCATAGAACAGATAATACACAGATTCATCTGTGTTACACCCATTGGTTTGAATTGTTGTGGTTCTGGCTGATTAAAATAAGACTCCCCTTGCTTCCCCCCCCCCTTTTTTCTTTTCCACACAGAACCAATGCTGGGTGAAGGGAGGGGAGCAAGTGAAGGGCCTGTCTTTTTTTCAGAAGTGAGAAGATCCCTGATGTTTTTTGTTTTCCTGGGAAGCTGGAGTTGTAAGCTGCTTTAATTTTGCAAGCTTCCTGAAGAAGGATGTTTTGGAGTGACGCCAATTTGCTTGCTGGGCACAGATCCTTGGGAAAGTCTTCTCCTCAAGGTAACTGGAAATCTTGCATCTTGTGCCTCCATCTCCCATCCACCTTGCTCTGCCTTGCATAGTGCATCTTCCCAGGGATTGCACCCATTGTCCTTCCCAAGACTGCTTATGCCAACTTTGAGGGCTACATCCTTGATGAAGATGTCCTATAATTTATAGGTGGGAAATACGAAATGTATTTTGGTGGTTGTAAGTTGAACAGAGTTTTAAAAGGAAGCGGAACATATTTCTCTGCAATGATCACTTCTTATCAATGTCCATTTGGCCAAAGAATGTATATGTTTTTAACAAAAATTTATGAGTATAATTCTGCTGTTCTGATATCAGATACACAATTTAACAATCAACTTTTTGTGCCTTACTTCTTGCAAAGGGTCAGAGAAAGCATGAAATTGGCAGAGCTGTGTGTTTAAGCCTAAATCATACAGAAAACAGAAGATGTTAAGAG